CCAAAAGGAAATTGGAAAGGAACAAAATCCTGTTTCTCTATAAACAAATTCCCAGATCTTGCATCTACCTTAACCAACAAAGCACTGGAAAAGCAAAGCAGTTGACATTTTCTTTATTAAGGACACACTTTTTCCATCCTTTGTTTACAGTTTCATTTCAAACAAAGAGCCCATAGCCTATCAAGAGAACCAGGCCACTGCCTTGGAGCCAACACAGAGTTCCACGCAGCACGTGCTTGGCCGGGCGTATGCGCACTCCTGTCCTGACAAACCAGCCCGCAGATACCTCGAGAACGTTATTGTGAATAGCCAAGTAAATGCTAAAGAAATGAGAGCTTGCAAAAACGTTTCCCCTTCAGTAGAGACAAGGGAGGGAGGCCACTACAGCCAGATCTTTAGGTATTGGAATGACTGGTGCTGGGGGCAAAGAAAGATAAACCCTAGGTATGATTCTTCTGACAGCCACAAGCAGCAGACCAAAATGGAGAGTTTTTCTGTGTGGCAAACACGAGGCCCATATTATGCTGGGGGGCATGTATATATCACCCATCCACACACAAAATGAATTCTGAAGAATTTCTGCATCAACTTTTAAAGCAACAGTGTGTCACCAGAGGCAGAGCAGCTGTTGGTCCCTCTGTTCAGGACTTTTGAATTAAACCTGTCTGAAGAACTAAATACATGAGAAATGAGCCCACAGAGTCATGTTCTACAATCCAAGACACATCCACATAGCAACTTCGAGAGTAACCCTCCCTCAGCTCAACTTGAATCTCATCTTGTAGCATCAGTGCTAGACCTGTTACAAATAACATCTTTGAGACCATCAGATCTTCCAGCATTAGTCAGTTCCTGGAAGGGGCAGTAAAATGCAAATGCACAATAAACCTTAAATAAAGATGGTAAAAGCAGTTTATCTTTCATAAGGCAGATGCCAAAGTAGCAGAGCGACTTAAAAAGATGATTATAAAAGACATTTTCTATCAGGAGAGCATAACAATAATAATAATAATAATAATAATAATAGCAAAGAATAATAAATGTGCAAAATACAATAGAGACTTACCAAACACTGAATTCATGATAAACTGGAAATAGAAACAAGGACACATAAAGCCAACCAGAAACCCGCGGAGTGGCTTCACATTCAGAATGACAGCAGTAAATTAGAGACATATCCCCATCTTGCCATAAAAAGGATATAAGAAATGTACACCACTTTCTTAACATTTCCCAAGGGACACAACAGACTGCAAGGGCTTGCAGGCAAGCCTGGCTGGTGGTGTTCCTCTAGTCCTTCCATCTGTCCCAGCACCAAGCAGAGGGCCAGGCCTGCAGTGGCACACTATAAACGTGTGCAATTAAACGCTTGTTAGGATCCATGTAAAAGTGAGGAAGGAACAATATTCTAAATCGTAGGCAGCAGGAGGGGTTCTGAGAAAGGCAGCTTCCCCACGAGGTCTGCTAGCGATGCAAAAACCGAGGAACTAGAGCCCTGAAACAGAAGCTGGGCCTTACAGAGGCCAGTGTGGTATTAATTACAGCCTGGACACTGAACCCATCACATAAATAAAGTTGGTTGGGAAACCACTCTGAGATGAGACCCAACAATTTTGTCTTTCCTTTAATTGAAGTAGAAATGAACAAAATCCTCCTTGCTGATTTTCAAGTATGTACTGAATGCATTTGCTGTTAATTGTTAAAATGTCCATTTTGTTCAGTTTGGCTTTTAACTGTAAGGTTTGAACATTAAAAAAAAATCCTCCAGATATCAATATTCCAATTTGGGAGTTGCGCATCATTTTTCTATATGGGTTTAATGAGAGAAGGAACAAAAAAAATAAATCCTCCTCAGGAGGAAACAGACCACCTTTTTCTGTCTGGTCCATGAGAACATCATTTGGCTCCCAGAAGAATTTTCAGATTTTCTGGCTACACTTTGTCAACATTCTGGAGTCTGGGATAACTTCAGGATATGTAACATCCACGCTGCAAGCATGAATGAAAAATGACTTCTTACTCCTTGGGGAAAGCTTGTTTTAAACAGAAATCTCCTTCACTGTGACTCGGGTAAAGCCCAGAGAAATGGCTAGGTGTGGGAGCAGATACCAATGTCCTTGCAGTCCTAATGCCTAGAATGTATAGCTGATGGCTGCCAGGCTGTCTGGAGGAACTGTTCTCTCTCTCAATTTCACTCCATCTTTTTCTCAAACGAAAAGCACAATGGAGTCACTCCAGTACCTCCCTAAATCAACTCTGTAGAGATCTGCAAAAGTTCAAGTTGAAAACTGAAACTAATCTGTCCCCAAACTGTTTGCATGGTCCTGGCCTTTTCTCAAGGCTATTATAGTAGCTTCCTTCAAACCTAGGGTGGCTCTTGACCTCATACAAGGGCCTGGGGAGGACAAGCTTGTCCCACACTGTGAGGTACTATAACCCACTTGCCATTGCTGCAAAGTGAGGCATGTCCCCAAACCACTGGCCACAACTGGGCAAACTTCTTCAGCTAAGTCTTTCTCAAGTTCGGGACCCAGTGAAGTAGTTCAATTTCAGCCTCATATAACAGAAATAGATTTTGATCTGTATTTATTAAAAGAAAAAGAATTTGTGTTAATTCTCTTAAATTCTCACAGGGTCCAAGGCTGAATCACAAGGTGGACTCATATACCCGAAGAAGGATCCCATGTTAATGAAACAAAGCAGCCTGTTACTAAACTCTGAAAGTAATTTTCCTCCATAACAACAGCAACAGACAAAAACATCAAGAGATTTCTAGGGACAAAGCTTGGTGAAAACAAAGAGAAGGAGAAGACTTGGGTCATTTACAATAACTCATAAAACTTGAAGAATTAGTTGGATGGAAGTGTTTACAAGTAACTAGAATCATCTCCAGATTTAGCCTCTGATCCTTGTTTTAAGGGGGAAAAAAAGTGGTTTTTCATTGATTTGGGGTGGGAAAAAAATGTAGCTTTTGAGCTCAGCACAATGAACTATTTATCTGGCCTGACAAGGCCAATCAATCCACCCCGCTGTTTATTATAAGGAGTAGTAGGATACTGTTAGTATGGACGGGTGGGGGCAGGGCCAAACATAGTGCTGGCCCTCCGTACACAATGCTTCCCTTCAACTGGAAATTGATGTTTGGCCCAGGTGACCTGAGGGTCAGTGTGAAGCCTGGGACAAAACGGAGATGGTATTTTATGTGCTTCGTATTTACAGCATGTCTCCATGTGCTAAGGTCTCAGAGCCACTGGCAGATTCATTATATAAAATACCCGAGAGTAAAAGGTTGGTCACCATCGGGCTTCGGGCCTAAGGCAGAGATTTAAGAAAGGAACGGCACTCCATATGCTGCCCCTGTTCTGTACCTTTTTCTGGATCATGAAAAATCCCATGGAGGACTTCAGAGGCCAGAGTTTTAGATGCAAAGAGGCAATTATCAGAAAAGTTGGAATCCTTCTTTCATTTAAAGTTCTCAGGTAATTTTTATCAAACTCATCTGGATAATTACCTTAATTCCTTAACTTAATTAATTCCTTATCTTGTTAAGTCAATTAATTACCTTAATTCTCTTATTTACCTTACAAAAAGCAGGGCTGGCAGGAGGAGCCTTGCCACTGGTCATCTTGCGTGTACTTTCCTGACTCACTGACCCAAGAAGCACGAGGAGGAACGAGAGGGGCTCAGGAAAGCAAGCAAGGTTTGGGAATATAGAAAGACACACTGACTCCTAGCTCTCTGAAACCTATAAGGGCAGGCCTCAGGAGCTCTGGAACTTATTTGCAAGAACGAAGGAGGCACTTGGCGGGGACGCTATAGTTTCACAGCAAAATCTGCTTAATTCTTAAAATGGGAAATCCCCTGCATTGGTAGGATGGGATTTAAAAAAAAAAGAAAACAAGAAAAGAAAGAAAATCCTATAGCTGCTAACCAGTGTGGGCCTCCAGCCAATACTTAATCTGAATAATTCAAAAAGGGAAATGTAACCCAGGGCAGCTGGAGGGGGTAGAGGAAGAAGCAGGAAGGAAGAGAGACACAAAGCTAATGTCTCGAGCACTATGATCAATGGACAGTTTATTGGACAAATTCTTATGCTGTCTAAATTTTATGAAAGATTAGCTGTTCTTCCCTGTGGTTATGTAAACTTGCCTTCTTTTTTCTTTTTAATGGAACTCTTTGCTAATACATTTCCTGCTCCTGCTTTTGAACAGCTCTATATTTCTCTTTAAGGAAGTAATAAGCCCGTGAAAAGCCTGCAGCTGAATGCTAACCTACCACGGGCACGCTCAGTATGAGCCCTGTCCGATGCACGGTGAGGGCAGGGGCAGGAAAAACTGAGGAAATCTAGTGCGACCACAGTAGAGCTGAGTCGAGTCCTCTCTGCAACCTTACATTCTCTCTCCTATCATTTCAAACAACGATGTCACAAAGGAGGGATACGGGAGAAAACAAAACCGCCTCAAGCTAATACCTGAAAATCTGCCTTGAGATCTCAAAACAGGGAAAGGAGATGGTTAAAGTTCTCTTGGTTAGAGGGAAGTATGAGCTATATCTTTGCACATAACTGTCTCCTAAACCAAGAGAGACAAGGTCTGTGTTTGGGAGCCCAGCAGGTAGAGAAAGAGACCCTGATAAAGCCTGCCCTTAAATTAAAAAGAGAGCATGGCCAGACACGCATAGCTCAGTCTGCACCATAGCATTCTCTAAAGTCATCTTTCATCCATAAAAATAGATATGGAAGTGAAAGCTAATGTCCTAGAAAAATCATCATTTACAAATTTAGTCTACTTTCTTATTGTAAAAAAACTGTACTAGTTCCCTTGATTATAGTTATTACATTGTTACTCGCCCTGTGTGTGCATGTGTGTGTCCAAATTTATACGAAAACCAAAAGGACAAATGCCATTCAATTTTTTAGCAATTCAGAATTTGAAACTTTACCCAATAGCTTCCAGTTTGGGTTTGTGTGTGGGGAGGGGGCTTGTTCTTTTTTTCCATACCTCTCTTGTTGGTTCTTAGAATTGTTTCAGATGATAGCAAAGCATTTCCACTGGACACTTCGTGCATGGGCTTTTCTGGAGCTTTGCTGGAGAGAGGGTCTTTCTTCATTTCTTTCTTTATTTCCTGTGAGGATAAAAGAAAAACAAGACTGTTGTTTGAAATTTTTAAAATGGCTCTTTGGCTATTTTAAGCTTCAGCTTTCTGGAAATGAACTCTAATGACCTCAACTCAGTATAACATGGTGTTTGAAAAATACTATTTCCTATGTTGCTGTAGCTTGTTTTCCTTACATTTATTACTGGAGCACCTGGTCCTGTAAAGTAAAATGATGTCCAATATGGTGACATGACCTTATGTGACTATGGCCATTCCAAGTGACTAGAAAGAGAATGAATGATACTAAAGGCCACCACACAGCTCGAAGTGACAGCCTGTCCTACTTTTTGAACAATGAAAAGTTTTGGCCAAGCAAAGTCACCACCTAAAAGCCTTCTGGTTTCAATTTTTCCCAACAGGGGTTTAGAGAAATATATTCCCATATCACCATTGGCTCACAATTATGCTAAACCCCAAAGAAGGTGATTTAAGTTCATTTACAGTCATCAAGTCCCTCTGGCTTTCTTTAACTCCTGACAAAGAAAAATGTAAGGATGACAAACAGAAATAAAGACCATCATTCTAGGCCAAGGGTCAGCAAATGACAGCCCACCACATATTTTTATAAATAAAGTTTCCTTACAACACAACCACCTTCATCTGCTTAAGTATTTTCTAGGGCTGCTATGACAGCAGACCTAAGTATTTGGAACAGAGATCAAAACATAAAACACCTGGCCCTTTATGGACAAAGTTTGCTCTAGGTGGTCTCTTATCAAAGACCCATTAAGATACAAAATTTAGGGGCACCTGGGTGACTCAGTCAGTTAAGTGTCTGCCTTTGGCTCAGGTCATGATCCCAGGATCCTGGGATTGAGCCCTGAGTCAGGCTCCACACTCAGCCGGGGTGAGGGGGGTGCCTGTCCCTCCCCCTGCTCATGTGCTCTCTCTCTCTCTCTCTCAAATAAATAAAATCTTTTTTAAAAGATACAGAAATTTTAAAAAAGATTTTATTTATTTATTCATGAGAGACACAGAGAGAGAAAGGCAGAGACACAGGCAGAGGGAGAGGCAGGCTCCATGCAGGGAACCCGATGTGGGACTCAATCCTGGGTCTCCAGGATCACGCCCTGAGCTGAAGGCGGCGCTAAACCACCGAGCCACCAGGGCTGCCCAAAGACATAGAATTTTTTGTTTGTTTGTTTGGAAGTAGGCTCTTTATTTATTCATGAGACACACACACACACACACACACACACACAGAGATTGAGAGAGAGAGAGAGAGAGAGAGAGAGAGAGAAGCAGAGACACAGGCAGAGGGAGAAGCAGGCTCCATGCAGGGAGCCCGACGTGGGACTCGATCCCGGGTCTCCCGGATCATGCCCTGGGCCGAAGGCGGCGCTAAACCACTGAGCCACCCAGGCTGCCCAGATATAGAATTTTAAAAACTAATGGCTGATACAATTACTTCAAACTACTCTAATAATTTACATAATTATTTTTGAAAGCGTCAATAGCCCGAAATGATAGTAACTCACATATTGCAGGTCTGGAGCGGAGGGTTTCTGGGCTTGTCTGAAACCATGACTAATTATACCAACGTGGGAAAAAGGGAAAGCTAAGGGGATAGACCCAGAGCATGGCTGAGTAGCAGGAAGAGCTCAAGGACAAGAGATGTGTTCTTTGGGAAGAACATGGGGCAGGAAATGGGGACGGGCTCCTTCTATAGAATAAACATGAAGACAACGAATTTGGTAGGGGGCTGAGATTCAGCCTGGGCAGAGGGCAGAGGCAGAAAGAAAGGAACAAAAGCTTGTCAAAACATAGCCACTGGGCAGCAGCTTCCTATAATACACCCGGGTGTTAGTTACCATATCCAATTCCCCAATTGCTGGCTCAGTTCACAACATCCTCGCCCTCCCTCACCAGGGCCCCACCGGAAATCAGCAACTGTGGCTGGCACTTTGCTGGGTTGAGAGTTTCAGCTGGCGTCCCAGGCCAACCCAGCACAAAGCTGTGTGCATGTGTGTGTATGTACACGGACTCCCACCTCAGCAGCCACGGCACCTGCTAGAACAGCAGTTGCCGGGGGTTTCTGTAGCCTCACAGGCAGATGGCATCAGGGGACAATCTGCAAACATTGCCCGCCTGAGCCACATGACGGGATGCTTTCTTGGTGATGGCTGCCAGGCTGCTATGGCTTGAGAAGTAAAGAAAAACAAGCCACCATGGGTGCTCATTCCCCAGAGGTTGCTTCTTTGAGGGCAGAACAGTTGCTCAAACCTCCCATTCCACTGCAGTGTGGATATGACTATGCACACACAAGTTTCCCAGCTGGACACAACGTAACATGGCGATACAACATCCAAGGTCACCAGGGACCAATTCGGGGAAATTCAGTAGATTGTGGGCAACCTGTCAAGCATTTGCTCGCACTAACCACTAAAGGCACGCAGTTGGGGAAGCGTGAGAGAGGGACAAATGTTTGAGAGACTGGAGTGATCACTGGAGAGAACTTTAGAAGCTGTGATTGGTTTTGTTTTTTGTCTTTAAGTGATCTCTACATCCAGCGTGGGGCTCAAACTCAAGACCCCAAGATCAAGAGTCACACACTCCAGTGACTGAGCCATCCAGGTGCCCCTAGAAGCTGTGATTGTTAAGAATACCCAAACCCAAGGCTTCAGAACAGTACCTCGCGAGTTTGGAAGGAATGACATGATCGAGCAGGTGCTTAAGGGTTAAGACAGCAATACCAAAGAGAGTTTGGTTCATAAATCCCAGATTCCATTGACTCCGCCAATGATTGTTTATATTTGCCACACACAGAAGCCTAACAATGACGAGATTTCTTAAGTTCCTTCTTAGATGGAAGCAGGGAGGAGACAAAAAATATGCCCCATATTTTTCCAGAGAAACCAAACACACAGGTATGGCAGTGCATCCTGGAGACTCTCCACTGGCACAATATCCAGGTACACCAGGCTCAATGCATTCTCCCACCAACTCAAAACCTTCCCTCTGACCTGCCTCTTTTCTGGAAGGGAGAGGAGCTATCTTGCTTGAGAGCCCATCATCTACTCACTTACCCAAGCTGGAAAACTCAGTGTTAACCCCCATGCCTCACCAGTCACCCAGTTGGGCTCTATCTAGTTCCTCGACCTCTCAGTTCTCTCCATTCCTCCTATGCTGTCTTAAAACCATGAACACCAGGCAAAGAACTTGAAGAGATGTTTCTCCAAAAAGATATACATCTGGCTAACAAGCACATGACCAGATACCCAACATCATTAGTCACTAGGGAAACATAAATCAAAACCACAATGAAGTACTCCTTCATACCCACTAAAATGGCTAGAATTTTTATTTTATTATTTTTTAAAGATTTTATTTATTTATTTATTTATTCATGAAAGAGAGAGAGAGAAAGGCAAAGACATAGGTAGAGGGAGAAGCAGGCGCCTCAAGGGGAGCCCGATGTGGGACTTGATCCTGGGACTGCAGGATCATGCCCTGAGTCGAAGGCAGACGCTCAACCACTGAGCCACCCAGGCACCCATTAGAATTTTTTTAGAAAGGAAAATAGTGTTGATGAGGCTGTGGAAGAATTGGAGCCCTTGTGCACCACTGGCAGGAATGGAAAGTGGTGCAGCCCCTGCGGAAAACAGTATGGCGGTTCCTCAGAGTTACACAGAGAACCCCTGTGTGACCAAGCAATTCTACTCCTAGGTATATACCCTAAAATACTGAAATCGAGGACTCAAAGAGATACTTGTATGCCAACATTTACTGCAGCATTATTCATAGTAGCCAAAAGGTGGAAACAACCTAAGTATCCATCAACAGATGAATGGACGAAAAAATGTGGTCTATCCATACAAAAGAATATTATTCAGCCTCAAAAAAGAATCAAGTTTGAGACCTGCTACAACATGAATAAGGCTAGAAACCATTATGCTAAGTGAAATAAGCCAAACATAAAAGGACAAATATTGTATGATTCCACTTACATAATGCAGCTAGACTAGGCAAATTCATAGAAACACTGGAGGTTACCAGGGAGTGGGAAGGGGGGATGAGAGTCAATGTTTAATGGTTACAAAGTTCCTGTTTGGAGTGACCAAAACGTTTTAGATAGAGATAAGGATAACGTACAACATCGTTAATGTGGCTAATGCCACTGAACTGTACATTTTGAATGGTTAAAATGGCAACTTTCACATTATATGTATTTTACCACAAGAAAACATACACAGGAACACCAGCTAACATGGGTGTGCTTGTCACATGCCGAAGCTGCTCTCAGAGCTGCACCTGGATGGCAACGTGGAGCCTGCAGGACAATCCCATTCACCAGTGGCACACACACCAAGACGTGCAGCACCAAGAGAGCCTGCCATACAGCAGCCAGAATCGGAACCCAACCCACCTCACTTCAGAGCGCATCTCTCAACCACTGTTCCCAAGTCCTGCTGGAGTGGCAATAATGTTTCCCTGCCTCTGGCCTCTCCCCTCCCAGGTCAGCCTCTACATTGCCACGAGAGACACTCTCCAAAAACAAATGTATGCTCTTGTCACTCCCCTACTGAAATCGCCCAGTTACTTCCAAAAGACCACAGGATAAACCCTTTCATTTAAAAACTTGTTAAACTGCATAACAAGCCACACATCCCTGTGTACTGCTGGCCCCACAGTGCCCATTACCATGCAAATGGAACATGGGGAGTGCACTTCTCTAACAACACCTCGACTTTTACAGGCATCTGATGTCATGGACTCCTATTGGTAGGCTCTAAAAATAGGTGACGAGGCTGGTAATGACACAAGCTTACACAGGCAAAGGCTCAGAGAAATTTTAGTGTTTTAGCAGATATTTTCACTTGCTCCTCATGGTAGCACTGTCATTATGTTATTGAAAAAAAGAAATAAAACCCTGATTCTTCCAGACTGATATATTTTTGCGTTCAAGAATCATGAGACCCAGTCAGAGAGGACGCAAGAGCAGCCAAAGGCCACAAAGCTAGTAAAGG